TGGGTGGTTGGGGGGTATATAATTCGCTTCCTTTTTTTCTTCTGTTTTCTTTCTTTTTAAATAATTGCTGAAATATAGTGCGTTACATTTAACGTATAATCTAAAGTGCAATCGCATCGAAGCTGTCGACTCTTTGTTAATAACGACAAAAGCAGTCTTTCATTCGTTTATATCTTTTACAATGCTCGGAAAATTTTCTTTTCTACTAATAAATGTCATAAATAAATTATACATCTTGGGTCAATTATAAACATAACGTATTATGGTAATGAACAACAAATAATGTGCTAAGTACTTTATCTAAAAATCATTCAACTACATAATTTTTTTTAAATAATAATCTCTCGTATGTGAAATGTCTCGTTAGAAAATTTTATGAAAACGTTGAATATTTCCAAACAAAAATTTCCCTTTTAAACATAAACATAGATTGCAGAAAATGATCAATAATGTAATATATTGATAAAAATAATAATACCATTAACCATAAGCCATATCTATCTATCTCATTTCAATTATCATTTTTCACCAATAAAATATTGTAAAATTTAATAAAAATTATAATAATAAATTGAACATCAAGGTAATGTATAAAATGCGCGTTATATCTGCGAATAATGAAAAGGAACAATTGAAGAATACGGAAAACATATTATTCGCAAGACGGTAAATTCGAACGCTTTAAAGCGACGCGATCACATATATTCTTATTCTTATATGTATGCTCGTATTTATATATTTATTTACACAATGACGCTCGAGAATATCCTCGATGCGTTTTTCAATTGCCAGAATAAAACAGATAAAAGTTAAGGGGGAAAGAAGAAAATGTATAGTCGAAGAAATATCGATGCGCAATTAGGAATCCAAATATTTTATCTTATTCCAAGATTACGAATCTCGTAATATTCTTGCTAATAAAAAGTATAGTACCTTACAGCATTAGAATTTACGCCGATATATTGCACATTTGACAACAGTTAAGTTTTTCTTGTTTCTTACGTACTTAAGTATAGGAAGATTTTTTTTTTTTTTTTGTTTCGTTTTCCGTTTAAAGTTTCGGCTTCATTAAAATCTCTCTTAATTTATTATTATTTCGGTAAGATTGATTTTTCATTCATTCATACATTCACGCGCCTTTACACACATTTTTATATAATATTTATATCTCTTAATTAATTAATGCATAATAATTACTTCGATTCGTGTCTATACATTTTGTTTCATTTTGTTAACGCAAATCTCGAGTTAGCTCAATTTTACGAACCATCTGACGCAGAGTTTAGCTACATTGAAATCACTTTATTTAATTGTATATATATATATATGCGTGTGCGTGCGTGCGTGCATGCGAACGCGCATCTGGGTATTTATGTACGTATGCGTGCAAGTATGTGCGTATGTGGGTATGTACGTATGTATTCATGTACGTATGTATGCGCGTATGTATGTACGTATATATATATATATATATATATATACTCAGTAGGTACTTTGGACATCATTCGATGTGTAATTGCCAGTTTCTCATTTTTCTACATCGTAATATTTATCGTATATTGTTTCGTAGTGTGAGAAATAATATGGGCGTCAGATACTATTTACTCAATTTCTCTTCTTTTTATGCTTACTTAAAATTTACTTAAAGTTTCGAAATACTTTTAATTTAATTTGATTAAAACGATACGATAATAGTAGTAGAAAGAATAAGTACAGAGTAAATCGTAAATGACACACATTTTCATTTTTCTTTCATTGTGTTAATATCGATGAAATGAGGACATTCGTTGATAAGTAATTATGTTTTATAATGTTAAACTTTTTATATTCGTTAGTTTGCATTGGTAATGGAAGTATATGAAAATCCGCCGATATCCCTTAATCTTTCAAATTTATCGATGATAGTCGTAAAATTTATATAATTTGTCTATATAACATTTTCGGACAAGTAAATCAGCATAGGATATAAATTTATACAGAATTTACAGTAATCTATAACGTAAAGAAAATATATTACAATAATTTAGTTAATAATAATTTTTGTTCTCACATATCGCTTCGATGGTTGAAATTCGATAATTTCCCTATATAAATCCTACTATAAATCCTATTATAAATTCTACTATAAATCCTACTATAAATCCTACACAAAACTTATACCGTAATTATTTTTAATACTTTTCAAATGCGAGTCTGCTCAAAAACTGTTGAGAGCAATTTCATAATTTTTACTAGGCTTGGACCTCTTTGAACGTAATAGAGAAGATAAAGGTAGACAAAAGAAAAAAGCGTCAAAGGAATTTGTAATTATCTTCTAAGCGGATTATTGCGGATCGCTTCTCACTCATGTTTTCACAGCGACGGCGATTTTCATTCGTTACATTCTTATTTTCGCGTATAGCACAAGTATATCTTCCTCCTAAACTGCTGTGGTTCGAGAGTAGTTGTTTACCTTTAACATGTCGGGCACAATTCATGAGTGTAGCTCTCTTATATAAGCTCTTACTTTGAATTCTTAATGTACTTTTAAAACATATTGCATCCAATTTTCCAGTTTGTTTTTGCAACCACATGCCCATTCGTCTCAATTTTTTCGTAGTAGATTTACCATATTCGAAATGAATAATCCCACCGCTTATGTATATTTACATTTTGAGTCGTGATAAGTTTTATTTTTTTTCCAGTTAAAATTAATAATGACGAGAAAATTTTTTTTTGATGGTTTTCTATTTGATTCGCCAATTATAGATTTGCTGTTGAGTAATACAATTAGTAATTATGAAATACGCGCTGTTGATAGAACAAAAAAAAAAAAAAAAAAATAATAACATATAAGATTATGCTTATACGTTCGTTCATTGCATTAAAAAATTGCGTTAAAGTATAAATTTAAAATTTAAAAATTGCATAATTCTTCAAAATTATTAACGATATGCCAGGACAATTAATCGGTCATTGGCCAATTTATTTCAATACATGACTCATACACGCATTCGATTGTTCTTTTAAAATTCTCTGCCACTTTTCGTTGCATTAATCGTATTTAGTATAAAATAGCTAAATACTTTTTCACTCGGACGAATTAAGAAAATAGTCGAGTGAAAACGCACGTTCGTAAATCCTATCGTTGAATTCTTCATTATTCTTTATAATAGGCAGACCACATTATCCGAAGGGCACGAACGACGACAATGTAATTGCGATTTTATCGACGATAAGAAAATCTTCCCCACTAGACAATCGATTCAATTCCATATTATTGCCGATTAATGATTTTTTGTTTGGTATTTTCTTTGTGTGTTTGCGACCGCGAATACATATCAGTGTAGGTGTAACGTTAGTATCGTTGTTCAGCAATTTTCGTATTTTCCTTGGCGGGGGTTGGTGGGAGGGGGAGGGGGAGGGGGAGGGGGAGGGGGGCGTCAAAGGGTATAATGGGGGAGGGGGAGGGGGATAGAAATAATTTTAGCGATTGGATCGCTCGTGGAAATAATTGTTCGCTGATAAATATCAATGGCCAATCTTAAGAATGTTTTTATGATAAGATATTATCATTGTCAATTTTAGCTTAATTTTATTAAAAAATATTTTATTAATTTAAAAATTAACATTATACGAGAGTATCGATGCATAGGCATCCTCATAATTAACTCATTGAATACGTATTTATAAGATTGCGTCTATATTTGTATATATTACAAACACCTACATCCATATAATACTTATATATATATATATATATATATATATTAGTTTACTAAATGGCTTTTAATTTATATAAGTGACTTTATTCGTACATATATTCAATTCATGGCAAATAAAAGAAAATTTAAATCTATTATTTAAAATATAATCGTGCTCCAACGATCGGCATTTTTCTACAAAATAAGAATAATCATAAACTATAATATCCAGATATGGTCAAACACTCAATTTTTTCATTCGATCGCCATTATGCACATTTTATACATTATGAAGCTCGATTATGTACGAATTTATAATGATATATCGAAATGTCGTCGAATTTTCTCATTCTAATTATATTTCTTTTTTCTTTTCTTTTTTTTAGCGAGCACAAAACTTTGTCTGTCCTAGAAAAACCAGTCTAACCTACTTTGATCTCAAAGGCATATCATATCGCTACAATGATTGTCAAAGGCATTAATGTATTTCAATAAAACACGCGGTATTATGTTCCCTTGCGAGTAAGTTCATTCACCTAATCAAATAGCTTAACACGTGCTGATAGCAGGGGTCACCTCAAAAGTCATATTCTATTCTTACGAAAGCTATTGAATTTTTATCAATCAAAGTGATGAGCCAATATTTAGTTCAATATAACAATGTATAATACAACGAAAGTTTGCCATCTTAAGTATAATTACAGCTAGTGGAATAAAGCAAGGGATGTGGATGTATCCTATGCTTTCCGCCAACAAGTGCTTGTTATCCTTGCAACTGATGGGAAAAGCCAGGTAAAGACGGTAAGTAAAATTACCTTAGACGGAGGCATGGAGTGTGCCGGTAGGCGGCCCTGCTGAGTACGAAGTCGTCCCGGGTGTCCCGGTGGTCGGCTGAAGGCTCAGTTGCAGCTGGTGTTGTTGAGCCTTCGCCCTTAGACAGGCGATGCTCTCGTTCCTCAGCTGCTCCGTGTCCTGGACGATGCCTTTTTTTTCCACAATGGACAAACGCGAGAAGTATTAGATGATTATGTGCATAGGTTGGCATTCTTCGTCATGATTTTCAAATGAATTTCAACTTAACATTGGCATTCAGCGTTTATTTAATTTAATTTGCGTCGTTAGTTGGAAAAATTAAGTCATTGTTTAAGAAATATAGAAAGAAAAGACTTATATTCAATTTGTAAAAACTTTAGAAAAAAATTAAGAAAGATTGTCAAAATTAGCCTTTGGCATTGGAAAGATTAAAAATATAATGAGCGACAATTGACATTATGAATGAGTGTGAGTGTTATTATTGGGTGATTAATTGAATGGCAAAATATTTAGCATTTAGAGCCTTCCAATTAGGTTTATGACCATTTAACTTAAAAATACGGATATACATTTTACACTAAAACTAAAATGTTTTCAAAGTTTTATATAGCAAATTGTTCGAGAGTTGGTGAAAAAAAAAAAAAAAAAAAAAAAAAAAAAAACCGAAAAAAAGGGCGGAAAAAAAGAAGGAGCCGGACTTACCCGAGGACGAGGAAGGACCCATGCCGTCCTGACTTTCCTGGCCGCTCTCGGAGCTCGTCGGCCCACCCGGGTGATGATTGTGGTGGGACGGACTGCTCCCACTACCCCCGTGATCGTTGCCGCTATCCTCGCCCCCGGACTTAAGGTGCTCCGCGGCCTCGATGGATTTCCGGTGCATCCCTAGGGGGCCACAGTCAATCAGATCGCGTCGGTTATTTTCGTTATCTTGGTTAAAGCCGCTTGTCTTAGAGGATTGCGCTGATAGAGACGGACAGAAAACAAAAACGCTTTTGCCAAACTGCATCCTTATTGTCTACGGATATTTAGCGGCACTTTAATTCTTAAAACTGACTCTTTTCGCGATGAGCTTATTGTACCGTGATTTACCTTACGAATGCATGCTCACTTTCTTTATTAGCCAATGCTTGCTTCTTTCGCTTTCGAGCGAAAGTCCATTCCGAAATTCAATTACAATATTTTGATGTTTTCTTTGGATGTTTTGTTTGGATTTTTGAAGATTCAATGGTAAATCGTTTTATCTTATTATCGAAATCCTCAAAGACTTTTAGATTTTCGCGATAACCGTTATATATATAGATATATATTCGAGTCAAAGCTATTTAGGCTCTGAAAGAATATTGCTTTTTGCTTCAAATCAGTGCAATACCTCACAATTTTTACATATTTTTAAAAAATTTGAGACATATTTGTAATTAATAATTTTTTAAAAATACCGATAAAACATTTTTAAAATAAATAATTAAGCTTTATATTATACTTGTGATCTTGCAAGAACTTTAAATATATGAAATAAAAATAAAACGGTTTGTCAAACAATCCAAAAAGAACAATACAAATTATAAAGAAAAGTTTGCAAAAAATAAAACGAAATAAAATGCGATAAAGAGCACAGTTTACATCGCACAGAGAAAAGTGAATAATTAATTACCGAGAAGCCAGGGCGCAACGGACTCGTTTTCCTTGGCACTTTTTAGTATGGTTTCGGGCAGCGGCAGCGAATGTCTCACCATTGCTCCATAGAGGCCGTATTCCGCCATTATGGTACTCCTTCCCCAACATTTTTCAGTCTTACGCCATTTTGCTCTTCGATTTTGGAACCAAACCTGCAACAATATCGTTCGTTCGCTAACTTGAATTCGGCCCAAATAATAATCCACACTTGCAACAAATCGTATTTACCGTTCCGATTATTAAGATCTTTATCAGTTCGTTAATTTTAGTTTTAGTTGGAAAGTATATTTCTTTCAATCAAGCAAATACTTTAGGCCTTGCAAAATTAATTAATTAATTTACATGACATAGCATTATTAAACTACGATATTGTAAAACGAATTATTATTCATTTAAACATGTGTAATACACATATAATAATATCGCAATATATATATATATACGCTTTATATCATGTCTATTATTGTCGAATAAAGTTAAATTAAAAGAATACTTTTGTAATTGAAAGCTTTATGTATCTTTTAAAATAGGATGGTAAAATCTTCTGGACCTCGCTTACATAATCTTAATGTAATCGTATGCTCTAACAGAGTTGCGATAGGCGATCATTAAAGTGATGTGATAGAAAAAAAAAAAAAGGGAGAAACGAGAAAATAGCGAGTAGAATGTTGGTAACAGAAACGGCTCTACCCCCAATTAGAGCGCAGGCGCTCACTTATCGCGCATGTGGAGGAGCGTAAATGGATAGATCCTCGCACGGCTCATGCTGACGGTTAAGTAGTTCGAGGGTTCGTTATCCTATTTTCCTTTCCTGTACATGCGAATGCGCGCCGCTAAGAATGCCGTCGAAAATAGTCCTTAATGAACCTTCCCCGATTCTCGGGGAGGACCACCTAACGTGCCGTAGTCGCGTGCCGCCCGCTTAGGTCACGTACCAATATCAATTTTAACGATCGCCCGCATATCCTGGAATATCAAAGAAATAATGATATCCTTTCTCGAGGTAATGCGTGGCTTATGTTATCGGTATGAAGAAGCGTCACTCGATGCCTTACTGTGGGACGAGAAAATAAGAGGCTCCGCTCGCCCTTTAGCCGTTAAAATGGATGTTACCGACGTAACCGAGTCACGCTCCATTGTCGCTTTAGCCCTGGCGAAGTTGAGAAGTTTGATGAATCGCGGAATTTGAACGAGTTTTACTTATGTTCGCTTATGGAGCGACCAATGTATGATCGAACTGATCTTTCGATATGCAAATTTATGTTTCGAGATAATAGAGGGGTAATTGGACATTAAGAGGCAGTTGGGCATGACGTACGCTCTATTGAGTGAAGTAGGCTCAGGTAGGTATTGAAAAGATGTAACGGCTATTTTCGGTGTTAATCCTAGATTTAAAAGAGTATGAAGAAAATTGTAAAATTCTTGTTATTGAGAATACGTAATAGTAGATGATCGAACGGAGATATTTTAAATCGACAATTCTAAGAGTCGACATTTGTTATTAAAATCTATCAGCGCGTATGTTTAAATATCTAAGGACACAAATGCTATGGTGAAGTTGAATATTCAGATATCGAGAAATATGAGTGTGGCTTTAAGAGATAAAAAAATATTGTGTGTGTGTGTGTGTGTGTGTGTGTGTGTGTGTGTGTGTGTGGATGTAAGATACAAAGGAAAGACAAGAATGTTATAAAAATTAATTTTGACATTCTGTAATCAAAATTTTTTTAAATGTAGAAAATTTTATTATTTTCGGCGACTTGTAGCTACAAAAATAATGCGAAAAATAATTCTTCGTTTCGCGAAGTTGATAAAAATAAAAAAAATGTACGAGTTAAATTTATTTGATATATCAGAATTATTTTACCGCGAATATAAAAATTATGTAGCTTCTATTAGAGTAATTATTCAATTAATCAATTATTCAATTTAATCAATTATTCAATTAATTCAATTATTCAATCAATTCAATTGCAATATTTTTTAAAATTATTTTTGAATTTTTGCGTATAAAAATAGAGTTGCGTGTGGAATATATCGTGAAAATATTTGATTTTTACACTTTATTAAACAGAGTATTGTAATGAAAAATAAAAAAAATCGTCAAGCAGATACGAATATTGCAGGACTACATGCGATGACTACTTTCTTACGTAAATGATAAAACGAATATGCTGAATGTAAGAGAGGGCAGTCGATAATTATAATCACTGTGGAATAAATCAACATGGATGTGTGTCAGCCCGGGGCACGTCATTGCCACTTAACGATATATTTATCTCTCGCTCTTTTTAACGCTATGTTGTAAATAAAGTGCAACGCACATACGTGTCTATGGGTTATTTAATTGTCGAAATCCGGGCACATCGCGCAACGGCACACCCACGCATTTGTGCCCAGTTGCGCCCTAAAAGAGAGCGGAGGAAAGCGCGAGCTGGCGCTGATGGGTGGTGATGGTGGCGGCGGCGGTGACGTTGGCGGCTGTGATAGGAGGTTGGTGGGGGGAGAGGAAGCATGAAGGGGCACGAGTCGGGGACAGGGCGTGTACCAATTTGTAGCAACAATGCTAAAGTCACCGGCAGAATTGAAATGTAATTCGAATGAATGCGCGAGAAGGAGGCGACCCCGCGTTGCCCTGTCAATTTGTGTTGCCAGCCCGGCATTATCGTTCGCTTAGATTTTAACGAGCCCCGAGCGAGACGGCATCTCTAGCTTTTCTTTTTTCTTTTTTCTCGCCCCCTCCAATGCCGCATTATATACGCGAGCTTTCGCTTCATCGATGCAATAATTGATTAGCGCGACTATCGGAAGTGCGTGGGCGGAAACTTTGAATTCCTTTACCGCGGATGTAGCTGATGTAGTTGATCTAGCTGATCTAGCCGATCGAGCTGATCTATATGTCTAGTATTGCGTGCGTGCTTGCGCTGCTTATATCGATTTTACATTCGATTTTACAAACTTATGATGTTGTGAATTAACTTTGTTCAATTAATGCCCGTTGCACGTAAAACTATTAATAGAACGATCGTTAAAATACCTGTGCAGATGAATTTGTGATGTCCTTATTATTAAAAGGGTTGGGTATTAAATTGTGTTTTGGTGCGTGTGCTGCTGTCAATGTTTTCGTTTCATTTGAATCACCAAGCCCCATAGATAAAGATACGAACATTTTAGTTTAGTCGCTCGAGAATACTTCGGCTTAATTCGCGGACTTTCCCCTTCACACACGGGCGCGATTACAAAACAGAAAAGAAACGAAAGCATACGGCTGCAAAGTCGGGAGAGAAAGCTTAAAATGACAGTACATTCTCGGTCGCTTACAAAAGCATGGGGCGTGCGAAATTTCTGACGCGCGAAGCTTACGGGAAAAAGTTGAAACCGATAAGTTCGCCACAAAAGGTCCGCGTGCATACGAAAAGTTTTAATTGCCGCCTGGATAAATTCTTTCGTAAATTCCGGTTTAAAGGTAAAAAGCGACGGAAAACAAGGGAGAAAAAAAAGCGAGAGAGCGGGAGCGCTCGAGGTGTTAAAAGTTGAATTATAAAGATCGTCAGGTTTCCAAGGTGATACTACGAGGTCGCCCAGGAAGTCATGCCTCCGGTTGATCCACTATCACACATCCCTAGAGACTCTGCAACCTACTATTCATTATTATTCATCCCGGTTGCGAGGAGACAATTTGTGTTGATAGGGGCTCACTACCATACTCATTGAAATTACACCCACGCGGCTCTCAGAAAGCAGCTCAGCTTCCTTTCGGATTTTTAAAGGATAAAAGCATTTAATTCTTTATGTAGTGGAAAATTGGTTAACTGCGACAATTTTCACACTTGCTGCCTTGCAACACCTATTTTACTATTATTTTTGCATTAGGAAATATTACAAAGGCCAGCGCTACAACATGAATTGTTCAATTTACTGAGAACAATTAATAAAGTCTATAGATTAAAGTAATTTTCATGGTATTTACGTAGTATTTTGATTATTACTTGGTGCACTATAGAGTTGAGTTTACAAGTATTAAATCTAATATCACTAGCACTTTTTTGTTTGTTTTTTTTTTTGTTTTTGTTTTTGTTTTTGTTTTTTGTTTTGAACAATTGAAAGCTTACACGTAAAATTGCTTTTAAATTTCCTTTTAATATCGATTAAACTTCCTCGATTAAATGCAATATTTTAATTACAACCTATAGAGCTTATATTTTTTGACAGTTTTAAAAGGGTTTTTCTAAAATTCATAGTATTTATGGTAAAATTCATCGTAAAAAATGGTTTTCCCGACGATGATTAAAATCTAAATTTAAATTCATAGCAGGAGCATAGTTTCGAAACCTATACGGCAAATTAAAATTTATATTCATAATTGTATATTGAAGTAATACGAAAAAGCAATCAGATGCTGACAACTATTTCAAACTTTTAATCATTTAATATTGTATTGGAGTCACTTTTAAAATTGCTCTTGTCATAAAATATGGCGTGTATATATTTCTTTGAAAAATGTAATCACCTAACGTACATTTAAATGAAGCTCGGAGGTAGAGGAGAACCTTTTTATTGCGAACTTCGGTCTCGGATAAAAAAAAAAAAAAAAAAAAAAAAAAAAAAAAAAAATTGCATCTAGTTATTTTTGCTACGATTTTTACAGAGTTTATCTCCTCTCGTACTTTTTGTTACGTTGAGTTTTCGGAGAGGAAGAGAGAGAGAGAGAGAGAGAGAGAGAGAGAGAGAGAAGAAAAAAAGAAGAAAGAAAAAAAGAAATAAATAGATGAGAAGAGAGAAAGAAAACACTCCGCCCGTACATTCCCAGGCTCTGTTGTACAATAAATAATATTCAATTTTTTTCCAAAGTATCGTCAAGTTGTTTGTTACGTCCTCCTCTATTCTTCTTATTCTCTCTCCTATCCATATGATCATATTCATATAATCTAAACACTAAACTGATTGGATGCGTTGCCATTGAACGAAGTTAATTATTCGAATTGATCTTTCCATCCCAATGTATGTCTTATAGATGAATTGGAACGAAGAAGAGTAATTTAATAAGCAAAGCTACCTCGAAGGCAAAGCTCGAGCAATTACTCCTCCTAGTATTTATGTGCAAGCGAGGCCAGACGATGTGGCTCGAGCACGTAGAATGTACATATCGGTT